TCAGCCACCTCAGTGGGGCCCTCGGTTGCGTGCAGCACGAGGCTGGTACGAGTCGGCCTATGAGTGGCGCATCGTCTCTTACGCCATGCATGCACAGGCCAAGCTTGATGCGCACGATGCTGGCCAGCTGCTCTTTTACGTCCCAGCAATCGACAGACCAGCTGCGCGCCTCGCGAAGCCTGATTTCGACGAGATGCGCGCGGAGCCCAACATCGGCGCTACCGCAAAAATGCCGGGGCTGCTGCCGCTCTTCGTTGGCATGGAGGTCATCCTGACAGAATCCGTCTTGCCGCCGAAGTATGTCCGTGGCGCGCCAGGCAAAGTGGTAGGCATAGAGCTGCACGCTCTGGAGCCTCCGGTGGAGGGCCGCCCGTCCATTGTCTCGGACGGTGTGGTCGTACTCTACTACATGCCAAAGGCCGTCTATGTCAAGATCGATGACAGCGATGAACTTTTCTTGAAGGCCGCGCCGGTGACAGCTGGCAGTGCTTCTCAGCCTGCCGGCCCCGACCTGCGCGGAGTGCTCGCGATCACCCCGCAGGCGCGCCCCTGGAAGTTCAAAGCGAAGACAGGTGGCCCGGCCATCGCGGTGTCCAGGACGCAGTTGACCGTGCTGCCCAAAAAGCAGGGGACTCTGCATGGCGTCCAGGGCAAGACGACGGACCCAGGCTTCATCGTGCACTGGACGTTTCCGCCAGGACTCAAGAAGGAGTCCATTTGGCTTGCCTACTACGTCAGCCTGTCGCGCCCCAGAAGCTTCAACCAACTCTTGAGCCACGGCTTGCCTGACCGGAGCATCATCGAATCCGGCCCCCCGGAACAGATCGCCAAGGCCTTCGCCGAGCTCTTCACGGACAAGATTGCCGCGACGAAGATCGCTTGCGCGAAGGCCCGACAGCAACTGGGATGGCCTGCGCGAGCTTGAGGAGCCATGAGATGCAGGTTGCGTTGTGGCGGTGCTGTTCAGTCTGTCCGTCTGCATTCGCGTGGTGCTTCTCAGCCTGCATGCGCGTGGTGCTTCTCAGCCTGCGCTCGTGTGCAGCTGTGCGCGGTGAGCCTGCACGTGTCGCGGAATGCTTTTCAGCCTGCGCGTGTCTGCAATGCTTTTCAGCCTGCACGCTTTGCAGCTTCTCCGCTTCGCACGCCGCTCCTCAGCGCGGTCCTCTGAAAAAAAGAACAGTCATCATCTCATCGTCGCACTCATCATCGCACTCATCATCATCATTCATTGCCAGCGTTGATAGCAGTGTCCCGTTTTTACACGACTCGCACTGTTGATAGCAATGTCTCGTTTTGACACTCCCAGCGTTGATAGCAGTGTCTCCTTTTTACACGACTCCCACCATTCACAGCGAAGTTTCGTTTTGACACACTGCGAGCGTTGATAGCAGTGTCTCCTTTTTACACGACTGCCGCCATTCATAGCAGTGTCTCGTTTTGACACATTTCCAGCGTTGATAGCAGTGTCTCCTTTTTACAGGACTCCGAACTACAACTACTACTTCACTGTTACCACTGTTTCATCTTTCCTGCTCTTATTGCTAATACTACTGCGAGTGTTACTGCTGCTGCATGCCTCCAGCTATGCTACTACATATCGCTGTTAGGTTGCTTTGCCGGGATAATTTGGCCATCTAGGGGTGAAAAAGTCGCTCCTCCGTTAGCGAAGAGAAAAGCTTGTTCTGCTACCAACGAAGCAATGCAAACCAGTTTTTTTGCCCCGCCATCAAAGATAGGTGAACATGGGCGTTGCTCAGCCAGCGAGGCTATCCAGCAACGATTATCCCTTCCATCTTTGGTTATATTGGGCCAGTTTGCAGCCATCTTGGGCAATCCATGGTTCGTTTGGAGCCATCCTGGGCCAAAAAAGGCGCAGTGGAAGGAGGAAAAAGATGAGGAGGGGGAAGAAAAGGAGGAAGATCATGGCGAGTTTGGCGGCTTCTTGGGCCGTTTTGAGGGCATGTTGGCGGTCTTGGGGGCCTTGCGTATCTCGGGAGGCCTCTTGGGGCCTCTTCGGGGCTTCTGGGGGGCCTCTTGGAGGCCTTTTGGGCGCTTCTTGGGGCATCCTGGGGCCCTCTTGGGGCGCTCTTGGGGCGCACTTGGGAGCTTTCCAGGCGCTCTTGAGGCCATCTTGGAGGAGATCTATCAAAGAAGGGGGGGTCGCTAATTCTAGACGCTTCGCGTGTCCCACCAGCCCGTCCAGAAACGACGCCCAGGCGAGTAGAGGGTCGTACTGAGGGGCTTTTCGGCGTCTTGGGTGCCTCGGGGGGGCCTATCTGGGCCGTTCGGGATCCTCTTTGGGTCCTCCTGGGGGCCCCTTGGGGCCTCTTGGGGCCATCTTGGGGCCTTTGGGGGCCTCCTGGGCGCTTCTTGGGGCCTCCTGGGCGCTTCTTGGGTGCCTCTGGGGGGTCTCTTGGGGCCTCTTGGGGGTCTCTTGGGGGCCTCCTGGGGGCCTCTTGGGGGGCTTCGGAGCCATCTTGGAGGAGATCGATCAACGAAGGGGGGTTCCCTAATTACAGCCCCCCCCTCAGGAGCCACGATCCTCGTGAGGGGTGTCGAATTTTAGCCCTCCCAGGGGTCGATCTTGGGCGCTCCAACGCGCCGCGGAACCCCCTGTCCAGGTCAGTGGGGAGGGGGTAGGGGGAGGGGTAAACCCCTCCCCGAAGGGGAAGAGGGAGGGGTGGAAGAGGAAACTCGTTAAACCACCGCCGCCCAGAGGGCTGGTGGGATTACCGCTGCCCCTCGAGAGTGCTTCGAATCGCCTTTTGGGTCTTCTCGAGGCGGTTTTGGAGCGCTCCTGGGCGCTCTTGGGGCCGTCTTGGAGCTCTCTTGGGCCTCTTTTGGAGCCTTCTTGGGCCCTCTTGCAGCTGTTTTGAGGCCTCGGATGCTTGGTTACACAGCAGAGCATGTCTGTGGCATCGCTCTGTCCCGCCGCTATTTTTCCTACGCTAGGTTTTCGTCGTGTCGACCAACGGCGACCCCGCCGCCGGCGTTCAAGGTTGAGCGCCAGCGGCGGCCCAACGTTGAACGATCCGGCGCTTTGGAAACGGCCGATCGTCCGAGGTTGAACGATCTCCGCGGTGTCAGGAACCTACGCTGGGGTCGACACGACGCGAACCCGCCGTGCGCAGGCCCAGTGGCGCACGGCGCGTGTGAGGTTCTTTCTATGAGCATTGGACAGAGGTGTGTGATGAACGTGCGGAGCTGAGAATGATCGATGACGAGAGCTTGCGTTGGGCCTCGTTCTCCAAGTTACGCTGGCCGGTGACCCCTGCCGGCTCGCAATGTTTCCCGGTGCCGTACTTCACGTTGCGGCTTCCGATATTGCATTTTGATGCGCGCGCATGTTCTGTTGTGCTCGTGTGAGGAGGAGGGGGGCGGGAGGGCAAGGCAGGGGGGGCGGGGAAAGACTAAGCAAATTGCGAGGGCGTCTCAGGGGAAACCGGACCCAAACCAAGCCATACCAGGAGCCAAACCAGGCCGATTGTGAGGATGACGAAGGCGGAGCGCGCCATCAAACCAGGCAAAACCAGATGCCAAACCAAGCCAAACCAAGAGTCAAACCAGGCAGATTTTGAGAACGTCCTGGGCATAATCGCTCCAACCAGGCTCCATCCAGTCTTCTTAATGATAGTTATTCTTGACGCTTCGCGTAATTCCACCAGCCTTCCCAGAAATGATTGCCAGCTCTCTTGAGGTTTGTGGGGAGCTATCTGGAGCCATGCTCGGCAAGAGGCCGCGAACGGGCGGTGCGCAGGCCCAGTGGCGCACGGCGCGTGTGAGGTTCTTTCTATGAGCATTGGACAGAGGTGTGTGATGAACGTGCGGAGCTGAGAATGATCGATGACGAGAGCTTGCGTTGGGCCTCGTTCTCCAAATTTCGCTGACCGCCGACCCCTGCTGGCTCGCAATTTTTCCCGGTACCGTACTTCACTTTGCGGCTCTCGATATTGTATTGCGATGCGCGCGCATGTTCTGTTGCGCTCGTGCGAGGAGGAGGGGGACTGGAGGGCGGGGCAGTGAGAGCGGGGAAAGACTAGGCAAATTGCGAGGACGTTTCAGGGGAAACCGGCCCAAACCAAGCCAAACCAGGAGCCAAACCAGGCCGATTGTGAGGATGTCGAAGGCGGGGCGCGCCATCAAACCAGGCAAAACCAGGTGCCAAACCAAGCCAAACCAAGAGTCAAACCAGGCAGATTTTGAGAACGTCCCCGGCAGATGCGCCCAAAGCAGGCTCCACCCACTCTTCATACAGTTCAATACATACAAAGTTCAATACAACAGCGTTGTTCCACCGTTAGCGAAGCTATAGAGGAAATGCGGTTCCTTTACCAGCCAACAACTATGGGCATATAATTGTATTGCTAAGCCAGCGAGGTTATCCAGCATCGATTATTCTTTTATCAGCCAGACCATACAGAAGAGACTGTCATTCCGCAGCCGAAGCTATCTCGCGTTGGAGTGGGAAAACCGTGGTCCAGTCCCCCCTGTGGGCGAGCTTCCTCGTTCTCTTCCTCCCCGCCCCTCCCCTCCCCTCCATCTGGGGAGGTACTCCCATCCATAGTGGCTTCAAAAAGTTTCTGCTGGCGCACCCATGCGGCCGTTTTCCATCATCGCGAGCACTCACCAAATTGGAGCATGGCATCGGGATGCCTTGCCGTGGAAGCTGCCCGGGGCGATGACGGATTTCGAGCGGGCCACCGCAGCCTCGCCAGGGGAAACTGGCAGGGGTGGCACCGGGTGAACGCCACACCAACCAGATGACGAATGTGTTGTTACCCAGTAGCAGCCTTTACCGAGGTTCGCACCGCCACCGCTTGATCCGTGTCGAAGTCTTTGGCGTGACGTCAGCGAGGGAGATGTTGGGGCGGTCTTCGCTTTGGATCCTAGGTATTATGATCGCCGTTATTATGGATCAGAGTACATGGGAGTCCGTTCCGAGGACGTGTAGGTCTCTGCTAGGACGGGTGGGCGTTGTGATGACGCACAGCATGCCCGAGGCCTCCATGCATCGCTATGACCATGAGAATATGGTGATCACCGCGTCGGTCGCGAACGCGGTGAGCGAGCTGGCCCTGCGAGAGGATGTGGCCGATATATTCGTGATTGGAGGACCGGCAGCTTATGAGGAAACGTTGGAACTGCCGAACTGCCATAACATTTTCATGATCCACGTTCGCGGGGAGATCGATTGCCGCGTTGCTTTCCCCGCTCCGGATATCTCCAAGTTTGAACAGGCGCACTTCATGAACGCGGCCACCCACTCAGACTCACAGGGCGTTCTCATCGTGTACGAGAGAGAGGTGGTGGCCCGGGCGATGCGCACGTTGCCTGGCGAGGCTGTCCCAATTTCCTTCCCCGCGCCATGTATACTCCCAGGTTCCTCCTGTGTTTTGCCGCTCCTCCCTCCGACCATGTTCCCTGTTTGCGCAGTGGCCCGCCTTGCATAGTGCCGCCCCTTTGCAAGCTCCTGTTTTCCTCTTCCCCTCCATCAGCACATTCCGCTTTCGGATAAGCGGGCTGCCAGGGGCCCCCGGGCGATTTTAACACTGAGCGGAGTTGTCGGTCATGGACTCCTCCTGTCCTGCCATTCCCCCTTTCTCGTCCACCTGCGCCCTTATGCGTGCTCGTTTGTTGATTCCCTCAACGCGGCCAAGCAAAGAAGGAGGGCGGGGGGGCTCAGCGCCGGGATGTGAGTAGTCGATTTTTGTTTCCCTCCTTCTTCTTATCTTTTTTTCGCTTCCCCGCGCCTCCCAGTTGGGGCAGTTCCGAAAGACTGGGGTGTTCAATCGTCTGCTCTTCTCCTGCCTTCCCATTTCGATCTCCGCCGTTCCGTTGTGATCTCGACTTGGATTGCAGAAAGCTTTGAATGGTCGGTCTCCTTGCGCGACCCGTTCGGGGCTTTTTGCATTTCGGGCAGGTGGCCCGCGAGGGCGACGGTCCCGAGATGTTGTTCCCAGACGCTGCGAGCGACGAAGAGAAGTATGTGTGGCGTCCAACGCATGTTCGTCATCTTCGCGTGCGCTGGTGCTCTTGCGATCGCAGGGGTACCTGCCGCAATGGAGACAATTGCCCCTTTGCGCACGGTTCGAGCCGCCGCCGACACAGGAAAAGCCGCGCTTCCAAGACCGCGCTTCGGGAGAACAACTTGACGGTGTAGAGGAGGGATATGGAAGGGATGATCAGAATGAACAAGAAGCGACAGCACAAGTATATGGAAAAGCAGGAGCCAGATGGCGAGGAGAGGCGCGGAGAGGGGGGCGAGGTTGAAGAGGGCAAGGGGGCTGGGCGGACTCAGAGGGTGGCGTCTCGTTTGCAGTCGAGACAGCCGCTGCTGAACGTACAATTGTTTGTGAGCAGTCTCGCGTGCTTCGCGCGGGGCCAACAATGCCTCCGGAGTGCGTGCAGTACCGCCGTTCCTGATTACAGTGCGCGTTCGATACGTCAGCATCTCCCCCATTATCAATTGTTGCAGAGTAGTGCTACAAGACTACGGGCCGCTCAGGCGCCAACGTTGCACCAATCGCAAGCGTTTTGGATTGAGCTTGTAAGGTTGTGGTTGCTGCGAGGCGGGCCTCGAGAGTGACAGAACACCTCGACGGAGACAGAGGGAATCCATGACTGATGAAAGCGGAGACAGAGGTGCGGAGGTCGGGCTCGCAGGTGGCAGTCGCGCGGTTCTCTCGTCGTCCTGCCGTGCTTCCTGGCCGAAATTTGTGCTCGCCGTCGGGTGGCCCCTGTGCGAGGGCCAGGGTGCTCTTTCGATGTCCTGGCCACTCCCCCGTGCGCTATGCACAGTTATATCGTTCGCGATGGCGTCGCCGTGCGCCGGCTATTCCTCGGAGGTTTCCGGGGGGAGGGAGAAAGTCGGCAGTCGCAGGCAGGCGTTGGAAATGATCGTCTTGCCGGGCTCCGGATGATATCCCTGTGTATCATATTGGCCGTGTTGGCCTCAAGATGGTTGTTCAGTTTAAATATGCGTGCATCTTGGGAGGCGTCCCCGATGCGTTGATTTTTAAGTTGGAAGATATTTGATTAGGCGGATCTCAACGAGCGGTCGGGTGGGCCTCGCGCGGGGTAAACAGTGCCCCTGGGGTGGGCTCGCTTTGTCGTCGGCTTGCTTTGCACAGTCGCTGAAGTTGCCAGGTTGTCGCCGCAGGTTTTTGGAATCCCGGGCGACGCCGGGGGGAAGTCGAAATGCTGCAATCGGAGTTGGGCGCAGAAGTTGGTCATTTGAGTCGGACCTATGCCAGTCGTCACGTCGCGGTAGTGCGAGCACACCTGTTGACGCCTTCCGGCGCCGCCGCCCACGTCCTGGCCGAAACGCATCCGCCGCGCCAAGACGGCCAGGAGAGAGCGCCGAGGAGGCATTAAGACGAATGGGGCGGTGGGCGCATCAAGCGACGCCGACGCCGACTGCGGCGGCGATGGCGACGGCGACGGCGACGACGAGATGACGACGACGACGAGAGACACGGACGAGGACAAGGACGACGACGACGATGACAATCACAAATCCCAGGTGCCGTTCTTTTAAACTGCAGACGCCCGAGTCAACGGTGAAACGCGGGAAGAACTGGGACGGGCATCGGCCCGAGTGGTCGATGAGAGCGTGTGATTCGATATTAGGTTTGCCGCGCTGGCTCGAGAGATTGAAGAGCTTATCCAGATGTCCCGTGCACTCTCTTACAGTGCCATCTGTAACTCGATTCGCATGGCCATGACGATCGCCGCTACCTTCAAATTGAAGACCCAGCCGGGCATCGCGCTCACCAAACGCAGCGCAGCAAAGGACCGTGTGTTCGAGACGTTGGGTGACCTCGCAGAGCATGTGTGGGGGCCTTAGACTGTGGCGATCTAGCGGGCATGCTTCGCTGCATGGTCGTCTCGCATTTCCTCGTCGCGTTTTTGTTTTGCGGCCGTGGGCGCCAAGTTCGGTCTTCTGATGTGGCCGAACCACCTGCGTTCTCATGGATCACTTTTTGTTCCAGCTCGACCCGCGCAGTCGGCGCACCCCATCCTCTCATCTATATTCACTAGGCGCGCGGCACACGCAGAAGCACCGCGCACGTGTGTGTGTGTGTGTGTGCGCGCACGCACGCATGGTCACACATGCACATTCCTCACCCACTCCCGCGTCGTATGCGGGTGCCATCATAATATCGGCACCTCTACTCATTCCCGTCATCATTCGCATTGAACGCGCTTGGGACGCTCTGTGACTATTGGCGTTTGTGGCGCACAGTGATGCAAATAACAAGGAGGCAAGGAACAAGGAAGAGGGTCGCCGGTGCAGGAAAATGGGCTTGATGGGGTTCCGCAGGTTTTTCTTGGAAATCCCTTTTTGCGATGCAAGGCGCGGCGCTCCATCCTGGTTTGCCCGCAGACGCTTGGCGACGATTCGCGTTTCCGAACTTCCCGCTGAAGCAGAGCCAGAATTCGTTCGACGTCTGGGCCTCTTGGGCGACGTGTCCAGGGCTTCGGAGGTTCCATGGGGGAACAGGTTGAAAAACCACCGATGCTGATGTTAGTATTACGAGGCAATCGGGCCTCCAATGGCTCGCCCGAAGAGTGCCGGGTGGGGGGGGGAGCATGGGATCCTCACATTTCTTGTCCCGAAAGGCGGAGCACGTCGCGAACGTGCAGCAAGCGGACGCGTACAGGATCCAGATGAATTCGAGAGCAGCGGGAATTGCAAATGGCGCTGAAGCTGCGAACGCAGTGGCCGCGCTGTCTGCCATTCGCGGCAAGGGGGGGAGTACCAAACGACAGCGTCTCTTCGCCGACCGGTTGACTGAGGTGCTGTTCACAGGACAGCGAGCATTTGCCAACGCCGATCGTTCACTGCGGACGTCGACGGCTGTGGTCGACGACGATGTTGAGGAAGATCCTCACTAGTTGATGCCTTTTGAATGCTCGCTTGCTACTCCTGTAGTAGGGTGAACCTCGTGCGGAGCCGACATTGCTCCCGGGGCAACCTCCCTGTGCATCCGTTTAAAGGGGAGAGTCACGGTGTTCTGCGGTAGCCTCAGCGAAATGTAACTCCCTGCTATTTTGCTCTGGTGTTTCCCGAGAGCGGGGAGAATTGATGCAAGCGCAAGCGAGCGCTGATCGCGGGCCGTGCGTCCTGGACTCTGCCAGACGGAGCTGTTGGAGAAAGTGAAGGGCTGAGAGGAGAAACAGGGATAAGGCCAGAAGGATGATGGGGGGGAGGGGTAGGAAGGAGGAGGAGAAGATAGAGGCACAAGTCCCTTTCGCTGAATGCAATCTCGCACGCCTTTGGAAACGCGCCGCGCTGTTTGACTCGAGTCTACGCGATCGGAGGGCGCCTTGCGCGGGGCAAACGTAGCTCCTGGGGTATCCGTTTCGGTGACGCACTTGTTTTTTTACAGGTATACCTTTGCGAGCGGCCCGTTAAGCATTCGTGCGGAGCCAACCGTGCTCCCAAGGTGACTCATCGTTGATGGTTGCGGCTATTTTTTGTAGAGAGTACTTGTGGCGGAGACGCCCGAGTGCGTTGCAAGGTTCCTTACTTGGCCTGACCACTGTTGAGACAGGCGCCGCAATGCGTTGCGGGATTTCTCCCATGCACCAATGGAGCCATCTTGGGCTTCAGCGAGAATCGGAGAATCGTGGTCAAATCCTAAACGTGGCCACGCTCTCCCCCCCGCCCCTCCTCCCGAACTAGGCCACTGCCTCTCCTCGCTGCTTCGGCCCTGGCTGGAATCGGAAAGACGTGGTCAATTCCCCCTCGCCGTGAGTTGGGATAATGGAATCAAGTTCCCCCTGTTGAGCCATCTTGGAGATCGTCTTGGGCATCAGCGAGAATGGGGGAAAAATGGTCAAGTCGCTTTCCCCCGTCTCTTCTCTGGGGTAGAGAAAACGTGGTGCGGACCACCTCCCCTCCTCTTCCCAGGCTATCCGGCTCCCTTTCCTCGTTGCTGTGGCCCTGGCTGGAGGTTGGAAAAACGTGGTCATGTTCTCCTCGCCGTGGGGCGGACAAAGGTGGTCAGGTCTCTCCCGTTGAGCCATCTTGGAGAGCGTTCTGGGCTGCAGCGAGAATGGGAGAAACGTGTTCAAGCCCCCCCCACTCCCCGTCCCCCCGACGACAGCGACGACGACGACGACGAGGAGTGCGAGGAGGACGGCGACGATGAGGGCGACAACGACGACGAAGACCACGACGACGACGTGAAACCGTTTATGTGACCAAACGTTGGGGCAGAGTTTGGCTAAGCTATTGGCACGTGGGTCTTCCAGCCGTTCTGGAAACACATCGGGGGGCGCTTGGAAATCAGGAGAGGGAGGAAATGTGATGAGGGATCTCTCGGAGGTGGCTATCTGAAGCTCTTTGGGGCCGTCTTCGGGCCATCTTTCGTCATATTCGGGCCATATTCGGCGATATTGGCAGTCTTGTGAAGGCATATTTTGGCGCCTCGAGGAGAAGAAGAGGCAGGGGCAAAAGGCGCGAGGAGTGGGATGAGGAAGAGGACGAGGAGGACGACTACGACGAGAAGTTTCGGGGACGAGGATGACGACGACGAGGCTGTCCGAGGAGGTCGAGAGGAGGAAGAGGAGTATCGAGGAGGGGGAAGAGGAAGAGGATGAAGGAACCGAATCAAATATGAAGGAAATTGGAGGAATGAGGATCGGGGCTCAAGGATGGGCGGAATTCCGAGGGCGAGGAGGAGGAATTGCGCAAAGGAGGAAATCCAAGGAGGACGGAGGAGTTCGAGAATGGGGAGGCGGACGAGGGGGAGAACGACAACGAGGACGAAGCGGAACATCAGGAGGCACGCGATGAGGAACGGCAAGAACGAGGACGACGAACAATATGATAATAATGATAATGACGACGATGGAGAGAGGCGGGGGGGCAATTCGGATGAAGGAGGGGGCAGCAGGAGGAGTTGCGCGAGTCTGCGCGGGCGTCGCCGCGCGCTCCCAGGCTCAAGCCTTGAGGGCTGCAACTAGGCCCCTCTCCGCGCGGCCTTCCCGAAGGGCCGGCGGGGCGGGGGCTGGGCAAGGAGGCCCATCCCTGGCAGAAAGGGGGTTGCGCGTGACGAAGCTCAAGCCCTTCGGCGGGGTGGGCTCGAACGGCACCTCCCGAAAGCTGGGGATGGCGCTTCGCGTGAACAAAAGGCCGTCTGGGAGCCATAATCCCAAAGGGCCGTCTGGGAGCCATAATCCCAAAGGGCCATCCGGGGGCCACAACCCCGAAGGGCTTTCCGAGAGCCAGAATCTCGAAGGGAGCGCCGGCGTCCATAAGCCGGTCCCCCGAAAGGGGCGCGTTGGCACGGGACCTTTCGCGGGTCCTGTGCCAATGCTGCATGGGGCGCCGGCGTCCGCGAAGCCGGTCCCCCGGGAGGGGTGTGTCGTGGCGGAGCCCCCTGGGTCTTCCCTGCGTCACTGCAAACATCCACGAATGATATGTGACGGAGCGCTGTTTTCTGGAAAATTGCATTCTCGTTTTCCGAACGGTAGAAGGGGGATACTATCGCGATTTTTGACAAAAGCGCGCCCCGTGGACGGTCCGGATGATAGAGGGGGGGAACTGACAGTTGTTTCCCGGCTCGCCCGCTGAAAGATAGAAGAGGGACGCCCTCGAGAACCAGTCCACGAGCGCGTCCTCCAGACAATAGAATGTGGGGACTATCGCGATTCCTCTCCAGGGCGCGCTCTCTGAACGATAGAAGGGGCGAACGACCGCGATGTTTCGCCCGAGCGCGCTCCCCGAACGACAAAAAGGACAGGCTGTCGCGATTTGCCTCACAGGTGCGAGTTCTGACCGATGAAAAGGGGAAACTATCGCGATTTTTTCTCGCGGGGCGCCCTGCGCTCGAGAGAAGGGCGACATTCTCGCGGCTTTCTCACACAACCTTTCCTATGCACGATAGAAGAGGGAAGCTAACGCGGATTTGTATGCACGCGCCTCCTTTGGAGGACAAAAGGACAAAACTCTCGCAAATTGTCCCCCAGGCTCGGTCCCACAATGATAGAACGTGGACAGTCTCCCGAGTGCGTTGTGAAACGGAATCAAGGGTGCAGCGAGGCTTGCAGACGATGGGCGCGCGTCGCTTGCGAGACGCGGGCGAGACAACCGGGATTCGCCGGCGTCGGGCGCATGTGGGGTCGCGGTTCCAGCGGGAGAAACTATCGCAATTGGTTTCCCAAGAGAGTCTGTTGCACGATGGAAGGCGGAACCTTTCGCGGATGTTCAGTCGGGATTTTCCGCGCGGCACGTGCCGCCAGGGACATGTCTGCGGTCGGAGAGCGTCGTCGAAGTTACACCGTCGAATGCCGCCTGCGCCGCCTTCTTTCGCAACCGCTGTCGAGGCGCGTCGCGCAGGACGCGCGCGCGTTGCTTCTGCGCGCCATTCGCCAGGGGTCGGCGTCAATCGAAACTCGCGTCGGGGGCGAGGCGGAGCCGACGCGTTGAGCGGAGGCCGCGCGACGGTTGCAGATTATGTTGCGTCTGTTGCTTATGCGGAGGAGCGCGCAGTGCGCCAAGGCGCGCTACTCGTTGCAAGTGCGCAGTCGGCTTACGTGCCCAGCGTTGCGCCGATCGCGGTAGCCGTTCTGGCATGCGACGGGGGTGCCTTGGGGGCGTGGTCGAACAAGTGCCTTCAAGTTGCAGTAGCGAAGATTCGGCGCGGGCGGTGGCGCAGAGACGCCCTGCGATGTTTCGAGCGGGAGTGCGCGAATGATGCGTTCTGAGGTGAAACTGGCGACGGTCCAGAGTGGAGGCAGAACGTGGTGGCTGTGGAAACTTGGTTGAGACGACGGAAAACGTTCGTCTGGGTGCACGCGACGGAAGACACAATTGACTTCATGCAGGTGGCGCAAAGCGAGAGGTGGGCGCTGGGAGACGCCGTTGGAGTCTGCGTGGGAGCGGTTGTCTGGTGCATGTCAGGGCACGTCATTCGCGTTGCCCGAGGGTGGAGCGCGCTGCGCGGCGTGGCTTTGCTTGAGAGGTCCGCCCCGTGGATGCGGTCCGCTGCAGGCGCTCGCGTGGCCTAGGGCAAGAACAATAGTGTGCTCGCAGGGCCCTCTGTCGGATCGGCGAACGAGCAGCGTGGTGGCGATTTCGCGCGCAGCGCGCGCGAGGGCGGAGAGTGTCTGGCGCTGCCGGGCCCTCAGAACCCACGGTACTATTGTTTCATGAATGCCTCTGCGCAAGCGCTCTTCGCGATCCCCAGCGTGCGAGCCGCGGCGCGCGTCGCGCGGCAGAGAAGCCCGGCCGAATGGGGCGGGCGGTCTTTCGCAGAGAGAGGGAACGCGGCGCAACGAGCGGGGGGGGAGCCGGATTTTGACGGTCTGCTGGCTCAGACCTTGGTAGAAATGGAACTCGGTAGTTCGACGCGGCCTATAAAGTTGGAAGCCATCCCGCGCGTATTCTACAACCGATGCCAGGAGGACGCAGATGAATTCTTGCAAGAGCTTTTGCAAGTGGAACGCGCGCGCGACGTGTGTCAAGTGTTCCGCATGGAGAAGGTGGAGCGACTCGTGCGCGCGCGGCCCGGCTGCGGCGGCGTCCGGAAAGTCAGGGGGGACACCGAGCTCACGTGTTTGAAACTGCATCTCCCGAAGAGCCGCTGCAAAGACATCCTAACAGTTCAAGACGTCGTCGGCGAGAGTTCGAGGGGTGATCACATGGTGTCGGAATTCAGGTGGGAGTGCCCGAAGGAGTGCGGCTGCGCAGAGGCCACGAAAGACTGGTGTATTACAAAGACTCCTCCGTGTTTATGGGTGCAGCTGCTCGCGCAAACGTACGACGCCGTGACGAGGAGAGTTAAGAAGATTCGACACATGCTTCGTCCTTGCGAGTCCTTGGTCGTCAGCGGTCAGAAGTTCAAGCTTGTGAGCTGCGTGTTTCACCACGGAGAAGGATTTCATGGCGGGCATTATAACGCTTGCTGTCTGCGCGCGGGGGCCACAGGCGCGCGGTGGGAGATGCGCGATGGCTGCTCCGTGAGATCGAGCGCTCCGCCGTCCCACGTGCAAGGTTGGAAGACGCGCGAGGATTCCACAGTGCACTTTTTGATGTACGTTCGCGAAGAAACCGCCACGGCATGTGACAGTGCGCCATTGGGAGTGGTTCGAGCGAGCGAGTCCAGCGGCGCGAACGCATTGGCGTCTATCGGGGGAGGAGGACTGGGCGGCGCCAGTGCAGATCAACATGCTGGAGGCTTGCTGAACGATTCATGGAATGATTGCGCAGTGGAGTCGCTGCAGGGAACGGGAGCGCGACGAAGGGACTCGGCCATGGAAGCCGTCGGTGCTCGGCCAGGTCGTCCGCCAGCGGTGCGCATGTTGCCTGGGGATCTCTTCGCTCCCGTGCGCGTGCTCCGAGAAGCCGACTTCCGTGCGTTGAGAATTTTGCACAATCAATGGACGCCGACAGAATCGTGGACTCTTGCGGGCGCTGGTTTCGCGCCGGCGGAGCTGCTCGGCCACTTGAAGGACGCGTGGGGAGACGCCGAGCCAGTGACGCGTGTGCTCAAGGAAGAGTGGGTGCAGGAGTGGGCGGGGCGGCGCCGAGCACAGGAAGTTCTGTGCGACGCGCTGGAAGGCGTCGACAGGCACCGAGTTTTGGAAGAGGAAATGGTGCGTTTCATGTTATTATTCGAGAAGTCGTTGGTATTTGAAGCCAAATCAGATGCGAGGCGACTCTGGGAGCTTGCGCAGATAGGGCGACGTGTGGGCCAGGGGCACGGACACGGCGCAAGCGCCAGCTTGGCGGACAGCCTTTTCCAATTGCTTGCGCGGGCGGGACTGTGCAACGAGATCCTCGCCAGCCAGGAAGGGCGTCGTGCTGCGTGCGAAGCGTGCGTGCGTCACTTGAGCGATACTGGGGATGCGTGGCTGGACCTGCGTTCACATGGCGGGGAACTACGGCACGCTGTGCACGCAGGAGAGACTATGATATTTGCTTTGCAGAGGTACGGCGTAGAGGGGGGGGCGCCGTCGGAAGACGTGGTCGTGCGCGTATATTCGCGTTTCGATGGGCTGATAGAAAATCAATTGGGCGTGGAGATGCGTTTCACTCGAACAGACTTGCAAGGCTCAAGCCTCGTGCTGGGTCGAGGGCCCGAGTGCGAAGTCGGGGGTGGCTGGGCCCCTGCGGTGGCGCTGGAAGTGCACAGCGAGACAGGATCGGAGATCGCCAGCACGTCGTACAAACCAGCGTGGCAATCCAGTGCAACAGTTCACAGCAGCTGCGTCGAGGGAGATGAACAGAAGAGCGCGGGTCCCGCTCCTTTGTCCATGTTTCCTGAGAATGGGCGACCCGGCACAGGGGGCGAGAAGAGACAGGAACGCGTTGCCGGCGCAGTGGGCGGTGACATTGCGTGGAGGCAAAAGCCGGAAGCGCTCGCGACGGCGACTCGCGCCCGCGTGACAGGGGAGAGCGCGCCGCCTTGCGACGCCGTGGCCGGGAGAGGCGCCGAGTTGGAAAGGCGAAGGCTCGAAGGTGGCGCCGACGGTGTAGAGCGCTCAAGGGAGCTGTCGGGAGTTCTTCCTCCAGCGCCGCATCCGGCGTCGCGGCCGAGTAGAGAGCGCGGGGGGGCCATCCGGGGTTTCGAGTCGGAGTCGCAGCTGTCAGACCGCGCGAGCGGGAGGATCAAACCACGTTGTGACGGAGCGATCGGCGGCGATAGGAAGAACACGAAGGACGCGTGCAGTGCGAAGCGCAGCGGGGAAGGGCAGACGCAGGACAACGGGGTGGCAGATGCAGCAGAACAGAATGCAGGAGCATCTCATGTTTATCGCGTCCGAGCCGTTGACAGTCGTGCATCTGCCGACAGGTTGCGCGGGGCAAGGGAAGTCGGTCTGGAAGCGATCGCAAATTCAATAAAAGATCAGCCCACGGTCTCCGCATTCTCAGCGAATGGCGCATCGTTGGTTAACGGAAGCATCCGGTCGCACGGGGCAGTGGTTCTGCCAAAGAAACATTACGCATTCGATGGATGCCCTTGGCAAGGGGCTGCAGAGGCGGAATTTCGAGCGCATGCGGTTGAAAACCACGCAGCAGTGCTGGCCCCGGTTGCGGCAGCGCTGGCGTGCACTTCGACGGAAGATGCGACGCAGAAGGATATCAAGTATTGGTCTGTGTACAACGAGGCTATCGCCTGGAAGATTCGAAAAGGAGCGCCTCTCGCGGCGTTGGCGATCGATCGGCGATGTCTTGATGACTACGCGCGCGGGCTGGGCGAAGACGCTGTGAGCAGTCTGATCTTCATGGTCTGTGCGCGGAAGTTTCCATTCGTCGAGGGGCGGAAGGGGGATGCTATCCAGTGGCAGAAAGTTTTGTTCAACGGGGGCGATTTCTTCGGTCTCCCAAGCGATTTCGTGAGGATACACATGTCCGTGGACGCGTACGTGGAGCGGTTCGGCGAGGTCAGCTGCGACAGCGAGGAGAGTTGCGGCGTGCATCTGCGAGATCGGCCAGAAGAGTTCGACGACTGGCATGTGTCGGTGCTTTCAGGGGATGGCCCAGTGAAAGTGTTGTGTTGCCCCGAGGATTTGCGATGCGCAAGCGGCATTAGGCACTCCGAGAACCAAACGTGTTCTCGTTGTGAAGCTCTTTTGTGTTGGGAATGCCGGAGCGGCATGCAGGGGCCGAGTGGGGGACCTCTCTTGCCTCCCGCGGCGCTCGCGAATGATTCGGTGACTTTCTATTATCCAGAGGAGCTTTTCTGTGGGAGTGTGACGGTTCTAGAAATGATCTGCGCCTCCGTGTGCGTCACCTCCATGGTATGTTTCACACTCGAGAAGCGATACCGGAGCGAGCGAACTTTCGACATGGAAACGGCCGCGCGTGGAAACGCGACGTCGTTCCCGACGCCTTGGACGGACATGTTGGCGCAGTTGAGCGCAGCGGAAGACTTGGCTGCAGAGCGGAAGCCGCCGTCGGTGCCTCACACGGGCGCCGAGCTGGCTGGAATAGTGTCTGTGATTATGAAGTCTGGGGGCGACGATGATACGGCCGCAAGCATGGCCAAGTTTGTGCACCAGGCTCTCGTTCGCAGGCACGTGGTCGTGGCTCTCATTCAAGGAGCGAAATCTCGCGGACACCGAGCGCACCGGAATGTTTGCATGGACGCAGTCCGGCGGAAAGCCTTGGAGCTTCCTGAGAACGACGTTCCAGCGGAGATCATGCGCCTGGTGCCGCTGGATGACGCGTTGGACAAGATCCAAATGCAAAAGGCAGCGACGCCAGTGCCTAGACCCGACGGACTTCAGGAGGCGGCGGACATTTTGGACAGCACCAAGGGGAACGCCGTGGCGGTGGAAAAGAGTAGTTTTGACGAGGGTGATATAAACTCGCAGCGAATCGAAGCTCTGCGTAGCTTCGTTCAACGACTGGACGAAGACTGCGTCCATGATGGAGCAGATAATACATCGAGCGACAGCGGCGATAATGCGGGTTGTGAGGAACACGCGGAGAAGCGCGCCCGTGTACGTGAACCAGAGGGCGCAGGCGTGAGGACGTCGTCGCGAGAGGGAGCGGAAACGCACATGGCAGAAGGTGCGATGCGAGAAGGCAAACGCGTGGACCGACTGCGTGTGCGCACGGGGAACACCATGATGGATCAGTTCGAGCCTTGGTACTTCGGTGTTGCGTTCGCGTTCATTTTCAAGTATTGCACGGGGATGCCGGACATGCCAGAGTTCATGAGGCGTCCACGCTATCGGTGCGATCGAGAAGCACCGCGCGTGGAGCTTCCTCTGTGGGTGCGCGTGATGAGTCGTCGCGTCGAGAGCCAACTCTCTCGCGACTGGCACTTCGGGTTCGTGTCATGGAATCTCGTGTTTCGGTCGGCGGTGAATTTGAGCAAAACGTGGTTTACATACGTTTCTGCAAGTCCGGAAGCCGTGGACGAACAGTAGACCCCCGAGCAAATCGGCGAAGGGGCAAAGGAAATCGATCGCGCTCTGGGAGGCATGTACGTAGACATGAACAATAGAAAGCAAAAAGTTATGGGAGACATGACCAAGTGCGGCACGTGCCAGGCCTGCGAGAGAGCCGCCCACAAACTCCTGACGAACATAGAACACACGTCGCGGCGTGTCGCGGGAACGCAGGAGGCGCGTCGGGTGATGCGATTTGAGACAAACGCGCTGCGCGCGCGGTACGGCGTGCCCATTTTTGTAACATTTTCGCCGGACGAAGGACACAACCTCTTGATGGTCCGGTTGTCACGCACTCGGCGCCGCGACCCGGTTCATCTAGCGGCAGAGAACAAGGCATTGTCGCGGCAAGCGGGCGGGCGGCAGTGGCCGCGCGATGCGCCTTCATCCGAGGACGTGCGCGTGGAAATCCCAGTGGAAGCCGTTTTCGCTGGAATACCTTCGTGGGGCGAGCGCCGGAGAATTACCGCCCGTGACCCCATGGCGAGCGTGGGCGGTTTCCGCGTCATAGTGGACGCCGCGCTCCGTCACCTGTTCGGGGTGCGGACGTGCCCCAACTGTCCGCGATGCAACCAAGCGGAAGATGGGACTCCGTGCCAAGATCTGTTCGGGAGTAGTATTGCTCCAGAAGGTGATGTATTCGGGCGCGTCGATGCTTGCTACGTGTCGATCGAAGCCCAGAAGTCGACTGGCGCCCTCCACGCTCACTGCCAGGTTTTCGTGCAGTGCTTGCATCAGCACACTCCGCTGGACAAAGCGTTCGAGCTTGTGCGGGCAAATATAGAAGGCCAGGGGAAGAAGCTGGTGGAGGAGTACCTGGAATATAAAAGCCGAGTGTGTCGGCAGGTCTATTCAGAGCGAATTGCGGAACAGGAACTCTGTAATAATCTGGAGGAAGCGGAGAAGGCTTGGCCAGCGTTTAAAAACGAGGTCGGGTTGGTATGCAGGCCGGCGTTTCAGACACGCGTTGTTGGTCCAGCCGCAACTTTGGCAGAAGTTGTGCAGGACGCGTCGGCTTGGGAAAGAGCGTACTTGGACGAAGACGTCCAATACCTCCAGGAGCGAAAGCAGCACCACGTGCATTTGAGAAACGATGAGACAGGAGAGCGTGCACCTTTGCCTGCGTGCCGTCGAAAGGACAATCCCAAGTTATGCAAAGCCGATTATCCGCGCACGTCGCAGCTTGTAGACCGAGCCGCTGTCGTCTGTCCGGGGCTTGCGTCGGCGCTAGACATGCCCAAGGCGGGCAGACGAAATCGGACAGGCAGCTTACATGAGCCGATGAATCAGGAGAGTCTCAATGGGACGCACCCGTGCATGTTGTCCGCGCAGCGCTTTAATTCGGACGTGCAGCTTCCGTATAGGTTCCCAATCACGGAGGCCTGTTGCACGCGTGGGAAAGCGTGCGACAAGAAGCAAGCAGACGCCGCCATCATCAAGGTCGTACAGATGGCGCAGGACGCCCAGGCGGGGTACGCTTGCGACTATTGCACGAAGGGGCAGCCTATGGCTTTTCACGCGGTGAGGGAGTGTTGCACAGGCTTCGAGAAGCTCGGCCGACAGCTGCAAGGTGAAAGTGTGAATCGCATCGGTCAGCGAATCTCGAGCCGCATCATGAGCGACGCGTACGGGAAAGGCATTGTGCGAGGACAGGTGGAGTGTGCGAACCTTCGGGCGTTCTCCAGGGAGGACGACGTGACTGCGGCGGAGGCGTTGAAATCATGTCCAACAACAGCCTTCTACGGGCGGGAGTATGTGGAAATGGTCGAACGCCTGGCAGACGGCGCCACCAACGGACGGAAGGCCCAGTTCGCCGAAGTGGACATGAGAAACAGGAGACGCCGGAAAGTGACCCTCAGAGACGTTGCCATGTTGTACGGTTCACGCCCGAAGGATGACGAACTGTGGCACCTGTCGCCGTATGAGTTTGCCACATATTGGACACCCATTCTACTATCGTACGCGACGAGGTTGGAGGATGCATCGCATCCGCGGCACCACGCAGTCTTAACGGAGAGTGGAAAGGAGAAAATGAAGCAAAATTGCAGGAGCAGAAAGCCAGAGGAGGAGCTCCATGCGGGGGAGGACTATGTCGTCAAGGAGGATGGAGGAGTGGATTGGGTTCCGTTTCCAGACAATGAGGGGCGTGCTCATTTCCGACACACATGGGTTTTGAAGCACAAGAAGAGGCCCGCAGCACCTACGTTCTTCGGGGCCCCCGTGCCGCGCGGGCGACATGGAGAGGCGGAGCGGTCGGCGCGAATAGTCATGTCGTACTTCCACCCATGGACGCTGAGGCCCAGCGAGGCGGACGATCACGTTGTATTCGCAGGGAATCAACGAGGAGAGGCGCCGACATGGGACGGCGCCATGGTCACGTGGTTGGGCGGCGGCTTTCAGACTCAAAAGGCTGCGCGGTGCGTCGGCAATTTCCTCAGCGCGCACCGCGCGCGGCCGCGGGATGCGGAAGATGTGGGAGAAAGGAGCGACGAAGACGTGAGCGACGAGGACTTGGACGCGGGCTTCGATCAGCTGGACGAGGCGCTGAGATCGCGCGTCGGCGGGAGGAAGCGGAAAGACGGTGACGGAGACAGCAGCAGCGGGGAAGACGGCGCGGCAGCGGACGGGGTCGTGTCAGGCACCTCGCACTATGACAACTCCAAAGGAGGTATGTCGGTAGCCCAGCATGCATGGGGCTGCGCGATGGCGAGACGCCGCTCTCTGAAGACGTTGCGAAGTGGGTTCGAGAACTCGAATTCCGAATCAACAAGCACACGGGTCGGCGCGTCGTGAATGCGAAACAGTTCGAGATGGTTGAAAAGGTGGCGCTCCGAGTGATGCAAGAGATAGACGGGCAGGCGGGAGAGGACGCGGACATGGAGGAGCCGTTGCGTTGGTGCATGCACGGCGGCCCGGGGACAGGCAAGTCGCACGTTCTCAGCGTCATTCGACAGGAGTTGTTCGAGGGGTTGCTGAAGTGGACAATCGTACCTGGAGCGGTTCGGCGAAGTAGATGGCGCTGGGGAGGGGAGCAGTGGCGTGCACCTTCGAGACCGCATGGACGAGTTCGAGGATTGGCACGTGTGCGTGCCATCAGGAGACGGGCCCATGAAGGTGCTCTGCTGCCCGGAGGATATGCGGTGCCACAGCGGCACGACGCACGCCGTGAATAGTGCATGCACCGGTTGTGAAGCCCCGTCGTGCGGGGAGTGCGGGAACGCGATGGCCGGGCCCCATGGCGAAGCGGCGCTCCCTCCTGCGTCGCTGGCCAATGACATCATGGCCGTTTATTCGCCCGAAGAGGTGTTCGGCGCCAAGGTGACGGTATTGGAAATGTTTTTCGCGTCAGTGTGCATAACGTCGATGGTGTGTTTTACGCTGGAGAAGCGGCACCGGAAGGATCGGGATTTCGACGTGGAAGCGGGCGGCAACGAGGTCCGCATGGCGGCGCGCGGAAACGCCACTTCGTTCCCGATGCCGTGGGCGGATCTGCTAGCACAGTTGAGCGCAGCGGACGCAACTGCCGCGGAGAGGCGCGCGCCGCCGGTGCCGCGCACAGGTGCGGAGCTGGCTGGGATCGTGTCTGTGATACTGAAGTCTGGCGGCGACGACGATACGGCTGCAAGCATGGCCAAGGTCGTGCACCAGGCGTTGGTGCGTAGGAAGGTGGTCGTGGATCTGATTCAGGGAGCGAAAGCGTGGGGGCATCGCGCGTACCGACACGTGGATATGGGGGATGTTCGGAAGAGGGCAATGGAACTGCCAGAGGAAGGCGTGCCCCCGGAGATCATGCGCCTGGTACCCCTGGATGATGCCCTGGACAAGATCCAGATGCAGAAGGCCGCGACGCCCGTTCCGAGGCCCGACGGAGTAAGGGAGGCGGCAGATATTTTGGAGAGCACGAAGACGAACGCCGTGGTATGTGAGAAGAGCAGCTTCTTCGAGGGAGATATCAATGCGCAGCGGATCGAGGCCGTGCGAACCTTCGTGCAACGGCTGGATGAGGAGTGCGCGCACGGCGATGCGAACGGGACGTCGGATTCCAGCGAAGAAGAGGGCGGCGACGGGACGACGGAACGGGCGCGTAAACGCGTTCGCGTCCGCGAAGGGGCGGGCCCGGGGGCGGAGCAGACGTCGCGGGAGGCGGCGGAGCGCGTCATGCTGGAGCAGACGACGACCGAAGGGAAGCGCGTGGACCGCCTTCGCGTGCGCACGGGAAACGTTATGATGGATCAGTTCGAGCCCTGGTACTTTGGCGTCGCGTTCGCGTTTTTTGTTCAAGTACTGCACGGGGATGCCAGATGGCCCTGAGTTCATGAATCGTCCGCGTCATCGCAGGGGGAATGGGGCGCCGCGTGTAGAGCTGCCACTGTGGGTGCGGATTATGAGTCGCCGCGTCGAGAGCCAGTTGTGTCGCGATTGGCATTTCGGGTTCGTGTCGTGGAACCTCGTGTTCCGCTCGGCGGTGAACCTGAGCAGGACGTGGTTCACGTACGTGGCACCGAGCGCCACGGGCGAGGTGGAACAGCTGACGCCTGAGCAGATCGGCGAAGGCGCCAAACAGATTTACCGCGCGCTAGACATGAAGTACGTGGACATCAACGGCAGAAAGCAGAAGGTCAAGGGCGACATGACGAAAGTTCGGCACATGCCAAATCTGGGGAAAGCCGCACACAAGCTCCTCACACACATTGAGCACACGTCGCGGCGCTTGCCAGGTACACAGGAAGCTCGTCGTGTAATGCGGTTTGAGACGAACGCTCTTCGAGTCCGGTATGGCGTTCCAATCTTCGTAACTTTTTCGCCCGACGAAGGCCACAATCTGCTCATGCTCCGCCTGTCGCGCACGCGAAGACAGGACCCCGTGCACGCGGCATCAGAAGATCAGGCGCAGTCACGAGTGGCGGGGGATCGGGAGTGGCCGCGCGTAGCCCCCGACGTCGACGAGGCTCGCCTCGGTCTTCCGATGGATGCAGCACGGGCAGGAGTGCCGTCGTGGGCCGAGCGTAGACGCCTACTCGCGCGTGATCCCATGGCTAGCATCGACGGCTTCCGCATCATAGTGGACGCGACGCTCCGGCACTTTTTCGGTCTGCGGGCTTGCCCGAACTGCCCGCGATGCAATCACGCACAGGATGGCATCCCTTGTCAAGACCTGTTCGGAAGTAACGCGATGCCCGGCGGGGGCGCCTTCGGGCGCGTTGATGCCTACTGCGTGTCCATCGAAGCGCAGAAATCCTCGGGATCTCTGCGCGCGCACTGCCAGGTATTCATACAGTGCCTCCACCAACACACTCCGCTCGAGCAGGTGTTCGAAATCGTCCGTCAGGACGTGCAAGACCGCGGGAAGAAGATCATGGAGGGGTATTTGGAGTATAAGAGCCGCGTTTGTCGGCAGGTTTATTCAGAGCAGGTGTCGACGACGGAAATCGATCGGAGGCTGGAGGAGGCCGAGAAGGCGTGGCCGGAGTTTAAAGTCGAGGATGGGCTCTTAGGCAGGCCCGCGTTTCAGACGCGCACGCTGCATCCAGAAGCATCGCAGACGCAGGCTCGGCAGGACGCTGTGGCATGGGAGAAAGCGTATCTCGACGAGGACGTACAGTACTTACAGGAAAGAAAGCAGAACCACGTCCATCTGAAGAACGAAGAGACTGGGGAGCGAGTACCTTTGCCAGCGTGCCGTCGAAAGGACAACCCGAAGTTGTGTAAATCGGATTTCCCGCGCACGGCGCAAATCATAGGCCGCGCTATCGTCGTGTGTCCGGGGCAGGCGGTGGCGTTGGACATGCCGAAGGCAGGGCGTCGGAATCGAGTTGGAAGCCTCCACGGGCCGATGAATCACGCAAGCCTGAACGGCACGCATCCGTGCATGTTGTCTGCGCAGCGGTTCAATTCGGACGTGCAGCTGCCGTATCGGTTCCCCATCACAGGGGTCTGTTGCACGTGCCGGAAAGCTTGCGACAGGAAGCTCGACGATGCAGCGATCATGAGGGCTGCGCAGGTGGCGCAAGACGCACAGGCAGGATACGCCTGCGACTACTGTACGAAGCGGCAGCCCATGGCTTTCCACGAGGTGAAAGAATGTTGCAAGGGAGTCAAGAAGCTGGGCAGGCAGATTCAGGGCGAGAGCGTGAATCGGATCGGTAAGCGGGTAGCGAACCGGATTCTGAGCGATGCTTACGGCAAGGGCATTGTGCGAGGACAAGTCGAATGTGCAAACCTGAGGGCCTTCGCGCGAGAGGGCGACGTGACTGCTGCGGAGTCATTGAAGTCGTGCGAGACGACAGCCTTTTACGGCCGCGAGTACGTTGACTTTGTCGAGCGCTTGGCAGACCGTGCGGCAGGAGGTCGCAGAGCGCAATTTGCCGAGGTGGACATGCGGCAGAAGAGACGCCGCAAGGTGACTGTTCGAGATGTGGGCATGTTGTATGGGCTGCGCCCGAAGAGGTCCGACGTGTGGCATTTATCCCCATATGAGTTCGCAACGTACTGGACGCCGGTGTTGCTGTCGTACCCGACGCGAGTCGCGGATGCAGAACACCCACGCCATCATGCAGTCTTGACGCAGTTGGGCAAGGACAAACTGCGTGAGAGGCGAGGGGACGTGTGTCTGGAGGAGGATTTGGTGCCCGGGGTTGACTACGCGGTGAAGGATGACGGAGGCAACGATTGGGTTCCGCATCCAGACACCGAAGGGTGCGCCCACATTCGCCACATGTGGGTTCTCAAGCGGAATAAGAGGCCCATGGCACCAACCTTTTTCGGAGCGCCCGTGCCGCGCGGACGTCCAGGGGAAGCGGAGAGGTCGGCGCGCATTGTCATGACGTACTTCCACCCGTGGACTCTGAGGCCCGACGTGGCGGACGAACACGTGGCGTTCGCAGGGAACTTGCGCGGCGAAGCGTCGACGTGGGATGCAGCCATGGCGGCGTGGCTGGATGGCGGAGTGCAGACGAAGGAGGCCGCGCGGTACGCGGGGAACTTCCTGAGTGTGTATCGCGTCCGGCCACGCGATGCTGACGAAGAAGAAGAGCGGAGCGACGAAGACGTGAGCGATGTTGAATTAGACGTGGGCTTCGAGCAGCTCGACGAGGCGCTGAAGTCGCGCGTGGGCGGGAAGCGACGAAAGGACGGGGACGGAGACAGCACCAGCGGGGAGGGGATGCAGACGCCGGCCAGGGAGCTGGAGGCACGTCGCACTACGACAATTCAAAAGGGGGCATGGCGGTAGCGCAGCAGGCGTGGGGGCTTCGGGACGGCGAAACGCCGCTCAGCGAGGTAACAGGCTCGTGGCCAGCAGAGCAGGCTTGTGACCTGGAGATGGTGCTGCGAGAAGCGCGGAAGTCTCGAAATAAAGAGTGTTCGATGGCCGACAGGGTGGCAGACGCCGAGGGAGGAGTCGTTGTCGCGGGCACGGCGGCCACGTCGGAAGACGTGGCGAGATGGCTCGCGGACCTTGAGTTCCGGGTGGACAAGGACACGGGGCGGCGCGCAGTGAACGCGAAGCAGTTCGAGATGGTGAAGAAGGTGGCGCGCCGAGTGATGCAGGAGATCGATGGCGAGGGAATGGATGAAACGGCCATGGGGGAACCTCTGCAGTGGTGCATGCACGGGGGCCCTGGAACGGGCAAATCACACGTGTTGCGCATCCTTCGCCACGAGCTGTTCGAGGGGTTGATGAAGTGGAGTATCGGGGTGAACTTTCAAATCACCGCCCTGCAAGCCGTCATGGCGCAGTTGCTAGGAGGGGACACCATCCACCATGCGTGCGGCATACCAGCTATCAAGCGTGGAGAAGAGAAGGGGGAAGATGTGAAGTTGCAGTACGAGACTGCTAAACGCGTGCTCCAGTGGCGGTGGTTGTTCATCGACGAAATCAGCATGGTGAGCGCCAGGCTCCTGGCAGAAGTAGACGCGAAACTGCGAGGGGTCATCCGGGATGTGGGCACCACGAAGCGCGGAGACGGAGGCGTGCCGCGCCCGTTCGGCGGTTTGAACGTCGTGCTGAGTGGTGACTTTTGGCAACTGGCCCCCCCCGACGGAGGCTTCCTTGCGGACGTCCCCACCGAACGCATCTCGGCGGCGCGCAAGTACACATCCCTGCCACCTGTGCTTCATGGTCAATCTCTACTTTGGGGTGGGGCCGAGTGCGGCGTGCAGGGCGTGACCGAGCTGGAGGAGTGCGAGCGGTGCGACGACGCCTGGCTGAAGGAGGTGCAGGAAGAATTCCGTACAGGGGTGCTGTCGGCGAACGCGCACGCGTTCTTGCACGGCAAGGACACCACTGTGACGGGGAGCTGGCTGCACGGAGACGTGGGTTGCCGCAATCGGGCATGCCGGAAGTTGTGCGACGGCGCGCAAGGTGAAGTGGCGGGTGCAGCAGGTCAACGTCGAAGACGCACGACAACGACGAAAGAGATCCGCCAACAGGAGTGTCAGGTGTGTAGAAGGGAACGTGCGCGGCGCCGTCTGGTGGTGGATGGCCCGGACGACCCGCGTTTGCAGTCGGAGAAGTTCCTCATTGCCCCGGGCGTGTTTCCGAACAACGACGTGAAGTATGAAGCCAACAAGCTCCGAGCGTCGCAGTACGCGCGCAGGCACGGGAAGCCGATGGTGTACATCCCTGCGCGGGATACGCCGACGCCGGAGGCGCTCCGCGAGCGACCAGATCTGCCGCAGCAGAAAATGGCATGGCTCCAACGACACGACAAGGAGAGCGGAGACCTGTACGGCTTCTTGCCCATCGCAGAGGGCATGCCAGTCGCTCTGACTGATCACATCGATCGCAGCGAGGACAAGAACCTCCTGCGCGGTCGCGTCGGCCGCGTTCAGTCTTGGGTTTGCGACGGGGACGCAGAGCACGATCAGGTCACGCGGGGGGGTGAGACCATTCTGAAGAAAACCCCGAAAGTGATTTTTGTATTGTTCGACGAAGGCGACGACGGAAAGGGCGGTCGGAAGCCGTGCAAGTGGACGATCGGGGGATTGAGGACGCCCGGCTTGTACCCGGTGGTTCCGCAAAAGAAGGAGTGGTTCGTGGACATAGGTCGTCCGCACCCGCGGCTGAAGGTGAAAAGGCGTCAGTTCCCGCTGGCTCCAGCCTTCGGCGTGACGGCCCATGCGGCGCAGGGGCAAACTTTTAAGGAGGGTGTCATAGTGGACCTGAGCATCGGCGGGGGCACGTCACCTCTGTCGAGCTACGTGGCACTGACGCGGGGGCAGCGCCGTGAGGACATGCTCATCTTTCGCCCCTTCGACATTGCGCCGTATCAGAAGAAGGACGAACGGAAGGGCCCAGGCTTGTTGCTGCGCACGTTGCGCGGAGAAGACTTGGACTGGGAGGCGATAGAGCTGGAGTTCATGCCGTCTGGCAGGTGCGCGGTCTGCGGGTGCACGAAGTACAAGAACATGTACCCAACGGTCGGGCAGTGGAGCCGCGCAGATGGGCTCCGCGTGTGCAGCGTGTGCCTGGAAGATAAGAAGAGGTCCGGCACGCCGTGGCAATGCATGGAGTGTGGTCTATGGAAGTGCCAGGAGGCGTTCCACGCGTCACAGCACCACCCGTCGAAGTTGACCACGCGGCGTTGCGTGGACTGCCCCGAGAGACGGAGTTGCCGCGTGTGCGAGGGTCGGAAGTACGAAGAAGCGTTCGCGCCGTACCAGTGGGACCTTGCAGGGAACAGCCGGTGCAGAGGGGGGATGTGCAAAGAGTGCGAGGAGCTGAAGAAGCACCTGACGTGTTCCCGCTGCGGCATGGAGAAGTTGGTGGACGATTTTGCGAGGATTGAGAGGAACGCAGAGGAGCGGAAGTGCAAAGCGTGTAAGAAATCAATGAGAGAGGAAGAAAGACAGCGCGCCGAGGAAGGGAAACGGAGGGTATGCTCGAAATGTGGGGAGTCGAAGAGTAAGGCGGAGTTTTCCGCTCACATGTGGTGCATCGCCTCCAAAGAGACCATTGCATGTACCCAGTGCGTCCAGGATGCGGCCGCCCAACGGGACTCGGCGGCGAGGAAAGACGTGAAGGCCTGTGTTGTGTGCGAGGTGGCGCAACGGCGTGATTTCTTCTCGCAAAAAATGTGGAATGGAGTGGCCGATCGTGGCCGCAAATGCATGCGCTGCGTCAGCGCTGGGGCTGCACAGCGGAACACAGATGCGAGGAAGGACGTGAGGGCCTGCGTGGTGTGCGAGGTAGCGCAGCGGCGTGAATACTTTTCGAATTGGATGTGGGAGTGCGCGGGAGATCAGCACCGCAAGTGCAAGCGCTGCATCGATGGCGCAAAGCTGGAGCGAGGGAAGTGGAAATGTGTAGAATGTAAGGGCGCTTTCGGGAGGGACCACTACAGCAACTGGTTGGCTGGACGATCGACGCAGAAGGCGAATGGGAAGCAGAGATGCGACATATGTTGTGCTGGCCAAGAGCGCAAACGGAAGGAAGTCGCCGAGCGGACCCATGCGTCGGTAACGAAAAAACATAAGGCTGGATAGGTGCCTCCGATTCCGAAAAGAGCAACGACGAACGCTCGTCGTAGTCGTGAACCCAGTCGCGGAGAGAGTATTAGAGGCATGCTGCCGAATATTGAGAACCGTGATAGCCTCAACATGTGGATCGGCTAAACGGACGGCCCACGAATGCCCGGACCCAGGCTGCACACACATGCCGAGAGCGAAGCTGCAGACACAAATGCCCTTGGAGCCATGCTGCAAACACAAATGGCTGACCTGCACACGCAAATGCCCAGAGCCAAGCCGAGAAATCGCGGCGTCGTGGGTCTTAAAAACAAAGGCTCCGTGGGAGAGAATGCCGGGGCGAGGTGGGGGGGGGGGGGGAGGGGGGGGGGGGGGGGGGGGGGGGGGGGGGGGGGGGGGGGGGGGGGGGGGGGGGGGGGGGGGGGGGGGGGGGTGGGGGGGGGGGGGGGGGAGGGGGGGGGGGGGGGGGTGGGGGGGGGGTGGGGGGTGGGGGGGGGGGGGGGGGGGTGGGGGGGGGGGGGGGGGGGGGGGGGGTGGGGGGGGTGGGGGGGAGGGGGGGGGGGAGGGGGGGGGGGGGGGGGGGGGGGGGGGGGGGGGGGGGGGGGGGGGGGGGGGGGGGGGGGGGGGGGGGGGGGGGGGGGGGGGGGGGGGGGGGGGGGGGGGGGGGGAGGGGGGGCGTGGAGGTGGGCGCTGGTCGTTCTTGGGCGAGAAATCGCGGGGTCGGGGGTCGGAAGGAGGCGGTGGCCAGGTGGGAGCCAGGTGGGGGCCAGGTGCGGGGTATCTGTCGATGTTGGCAGGGGAATCGTGGAGTCGGGGGTCCCAAGAACAGAGCCCAGAGGCCTGGAGGTGTCGGGGCCAAGTGAGGCGCGGGGAAAAGGACGCAGGACGTGTTTTGGGGAAGGGGGGGGGGGGATTTCTGGGGTCGGGGGTCCCAATAACACCAGCCAGAGGCTTGGGGGTGTTGGGACCAAGTGGGGGGCGGGGAGGGGGGCGTTGGTCGATTTGGGGCGAGAAATCGTGGGGTCGGGGGTCCCAAGAACAGAGCCCATGGGCCTGGGGGTGTCGGGACCAAGTGGGGGGCGGGGAGCGGGGCGTTGGTCGTGTTTGGGCGAGAAATCGTAGGGTCGGGGGCTCAAGAACAGAGCCCATGGGCTTGGCGGTGTCGGGACCAGGTGGAGGGCGGGGAGGGGGGCGTTGGTCGATTTTGGGCGAGGAGTCGTAGGAGTCGGAAGTCCCAAGAACAGAGCCCATGAGCCTGGGGGTGTCGGGACCAAGCGGGGAGCGCGGGAGGGGGGCGTTGGTCGTTTTTGGGCGAAAAATCACGGGGTCGGGGGTCCCAAGAACAGAGCCCAGAGGACTGGGGGTGTCAGGACTAAGTGGGAGGCGGGGCGGGGGGCGTTGGTCGTTTTTGTGCGAAATATTGTGGGGTGGGGGGTTCCAAGAACAGAACCCAGAGGCCTGCGGGTGTCGGGACCAAGTGAGGGGCGCGGAGAGGGGCGTTGGTCGCTTTTGGACGGAAGTCGTGGGGTCGGGGGTGCCAGCAAGAGAGCCCAGAGGCGTGGAGGTGTCGGGGCCAAGTGGGGGGCGGGGAGGGGGGCGTTGGTTGTTTTTGGGCGAAAAATCGTCGGGTCGGGGGTCCCAAGAAGCCCAGGAGCTTGGGGGTGTCCGGGAACCAAGTGGGGATCGGGAGGGGGGGGGGTGGGGGGGGGGGGGGGGGGCGTTTCGTCGTTTTTGGAAGAAGAAATTGTAAGGGTCGGGGTCCCTCAAGAACAGGAGAAGCCCAGGAGCAGGGGGGTGTCGGTGCCAAGTGGGGTTGTTTCGGGAGGGGGGCGTTGGTCGTTGTTGAGGGAGAAATCGCGGGTCGGGTCCCAAGACAATAGCCCATGAGCAGGGTGGTGTCGGATCTAAGTGGGGGGCGGGAGGGGGGCGTTGTCGATTTTAGGCGAGAAATCGCGGGGTCGGGGGTCCCAAGAACAGAGCCCATGAGCAGGGGGGCGTCGGGGCCAAGTGGGGGGCGGGGAGGGGGGCGTTGGTCGATTTTGGGCGAGAAATCGCGGGGTCGGGGGTCCCAAGAACAGAGCCCATGAGCAGGGGGGTGTCGGGTAACCAAGTGTGGGGCGGGGAGGGGGGCGTGGTCGATTTTGAGCGAGAAATCGCGGGGTCGGGGGTCTCAAGAACAGAGCTCATGAGCAGGGGTGTGTCGGTGCCAAGTGGGGTGCGGGGAGGGGTGCGTTGGTCGATTTTGGGCGAGAAATCGCGGGGTCGGGGGTCCCAAGAACAGAGCCCATGAGCAGGGGGGCGTCGGGGCCAAGTGGGGGGCGGGGAGGGGGGCGTTGGTCGATTTTGGGCGAGAAATCGCGGGGTCGGGGGTCCCAAGAACAGAGCCCTCTGATGCAGGCTCCAGGAGGGGCTCAAATTGTGTGTGGGGGGGGGGTTGGGAGGGGGGGGTGGGGGGGGGGGGGGGGGGGGGGGGGGGGTGGGGGGGTGGGGGGGGGGGGGGCGGGGGAGGGGGGCTGCTGTGGTCGATTTTGGGCGAGAAATCGCGGGGTCGGGGGTCCCAAGAACGGAGCCCATGAGCAGGGGGGTGTCGGGGCCAAGTGGCGGGCGGGGAGGGGGGCGCTGGTCGATTTTGGGCGAGGATTCGCGGGGTCGGGGGTTCCAAGAACAGAGCCCATGAGCAGGGGGGTGTCGGGGCCAAGCGGGGGGCGGGGAGGGGGGCGTTGGCTGATTTTGGGCGAGAAATCGCGGGGTCGGGGGTCCCAAGAACAGAGCCCATGAGCAGGGGGGTGTCGGGACCCAGTGGGGGGCGGGGAGGGGGGCGCTGGTCGATTTTGGGCGAGACATCGCGGGGTCGGGGGTCCCAAGAACAGAGCCCATGAGCAGGGGGGTGTCGGGGCCAAGTGGGGGGCGGGGAGGGGGGCGTTGCCGTTTGGCCCAAGCTGCGCAGCTCCATCATATGCTTACAGTTCACCGAACTGTATTTTTCGTGGAGAGAAAAGAGATGGTAGCTCCCCAGCTACCATCCTCCTCTTCACCCCCTCTTACCATTACTCCTCATTCCTATGTTTCTCGCCTTGGCGTCTACTTCCGACTTGGTAGCGGAGCTGGCAGCAGGTAGACTATGCTGCTAGCTCTGCTCTTGGTTTTGTATAACTACGGCGACCCACCACCGCTGCGCGGTACAGCAGAGTACAGCAATGAGAACTCAGCCGGAGACGGCTCCGGGAATGCCACGGGGACGTCAAAGACGTATGTGATGTCGAAGACAACGCTACCGACCGGCAACCTTTCTTTCACGAGTGTTAAGGAGAAGAACCTTTCTCTCACGAACGTGAAGGACTCGAACCTCATTGCAGCAGCACAGTTGTACCATACTCCCTTAAGCGGCAGCACTACCACGCCGTCCAGGCCTAAGCCGGCGACGGCTGCGCTGCCCAACAAGCCTAACCACAAGCAAGAGATAACTCCCATAAACAAGGTGCACCGAATTCTACCAATAACAATTTTCGGGGCTTGTCTTGCTTCGTGCACGGCTGTTGGGTGCATGATGCACCGCAACAGGAACAACGACGACACGAGCCGAATGCAAGGTCCCTACTGGGACCCAGCAAGCAACGTGTCATTCTCAGACTTCCAACGCGAGGTGCACGCCTGGCTCAACGTAGCCAACGGGCGGCTCTCACCGCCTCAGCAGGCAGCTGCTCTACAGCGTGGCCTGGGCGGCCAGGCACGCACCATCGCCATGGGGGTCCCGCCTCGCATCATCACGCGCGGGGCGGTGACCCAAGGGCAGCCTACAGACGGACTCACATACATCATGTTCGTCCTCGCTGCCAAATTCGAGAATCTCGAGGACGAACGTGCCCTGACACTAGGCACGCAACTCTTCGACTTCAGAGTCCCAACAGGAGAGCGCA